TGCTATTTTAATTTGTTAAACAATATATAAAAATATTCTAGTCAATTTTAAACTCTGGAGGAAACTTAAAATCTGTAATAGTTGTGATAATAATTGTTAAAATATTGTTAAAAAATAAATAAAATTTGTTGTTTAAAAATAGATTTATAAGAAAAATGCAATTTTAACTGTTGAGTGGTATTTTTAATGTTGATTCGTTGGTCTGTGATGAGATATTGATAAGAGGTCGAACGTCACATGAGAGGTTGTGATAAGAGTCTAGTCAGGTTCAAAATATTAAAACGTTTGTTTTTAGTCTGAATAAGTACCACTGGCTCTTATTTAAAATAAATTGTTATAAAATATTAATGACTGACGACCACTTTTTTAACCATTGTAATTAGTGAAGAAACAATGATAACCATGTTGATATAGAAATGTAAAAAAAAAATATTTGTTCTGTGTACAGGCGTTAACTCACCTGAGGAAGGATTAAAATAAATCCGAAACATTGTGGATAAAAACTGGTTGTGGTTTTTTGAGATAACCTATTATCCCACCTTCAAGAAGGAAGAATCATAAGATTAACTGTTGAGGTCGAAATATAAAAAAACATCGTTTATAATTATAGCAATTGCATTTGATGTTTAAATACTACCTTGTTTGTATATAAGAAAACAACACATTTTTTATGTTACTTTTGTTTACCTAAATTGCTCAAATTGTACAGCATCTTTAATAGTATTACAAATCTGATGCATGAATAACAGCAATAACATAACGTTCAATTGTCACCTAGCAATGATTCCGTTCCGTAAAACCGTGCTCGGTGAAGCAGCTGGTTGAAAATTGAGGTGATGCACTTAGCGGACACGGGAAGTGACGTGATCCGTGAGAAATTGTCGCATTTCTGCTGCCTAAGGCCGACCTCAGACAAAATTAAATATTGACGAGTCACAAAGTTAACAGTATTAATGTTTGTCCTCTCTGGCCTACATTAGTGCCTTTACGTCCCTTCAGAGCTCATCCATCTCACTTGAATACTTAATATATTTTCAGCTCCGAATTCCATGTTACTCACCGGATGGAGAAATAATGAGCCTCCATAAGGTAAACCTAATTGACCTCGCTAAATTATAATAAAATTTTAAATTGTCAGAAAAGCTTTGAGTACGTCGGCCTATTCTATTCGATTATTGATTACACAAACATTTTTCCTTAGAAAAAATTGAATACTACATCACAATAACAGTTTTTGTCTTTCTTTACATTAAGAAGGTTTAAATATCAATCGCATTTTTAAAAAAGCTCCTAGATATTTTTTTTAAATTTTCTTCAACTTAGTTTTCTTGATATCTAGTTTTCCTGTTTCATGATAATTCTCGCCTAAAAATCTGATTTTTGAACACTTTCTTACCCACACAAACAAACAAACACACACGTACACAAATTCTGAAAGCATGGCAGAATGGCGGAGTAGCTGCGGCGATTCACCGTCATAAACAGTCCTTCTTTTTCAAGCAGTCAGACACCACCTCAGACTGTGAACCCCTGCTCTGCTACTGGAGTGCAAGAGCGTCCAACAGGCATTCTTTTGCTGCAGGGCATGGTGCTCAAGTGTTCAATGGTCGCCGGCAAAGTACGAAATAATGAATGCCATTTTTATTTTTCTGGACAATTAATTTTTGTTTTCATTCAAGTGCTGAAGTCTTCTTTTGTGTTTTGAAGTTGAGTTTGGTTATACAACTTCATATTGCCTTTTTTTTTTTTAATAATTTTTGAATCGGCATAGTACATGTGATATTATTAATGGAGATATTTAAATAAACTCTTCGGATTTAGGGTTACTTTCACTAGGAAAACATACGCACACACACACACACACACACCTGACACAAACCATATCATCGTTAATCGCTTACAAATAACGCTTAAATGTAATACAATCCATCGGTTTTTCATCAGGTAATACGTCCCATTAATATTTTCTTTCGACTTCGAAAATACTGTGCCAGCACATTCTTTGAAGTTGTGTAGGCTTTCTATAAATTTTGGCACAATGAAGAACTATTTTTAAGATCAATATTATCTTACCTTTTACTTATTAAAATTATCAAGCAATTTTACTTCTCAGTAAGTGGAATACATTTCCGTTTTTTCTATATTCTAATACAGGCCTACTCCAAGGAAGTATCCTAACTTAAATTCATATGACTTGAATATCACCTTGCTTTCTTTTTAATCCTTATGTCGACCATGTCGGGCACAACGCAACAAATAAGTTTTTTCTGAAGCCTACATCACATCAGACCGCATCTCAAGATTTCCGAATAATCATCGACTAATGGTCACTAATCACCACACATTTCTACACGAGAAGAACGAAGAAAATGGGATGAACAAATTTCAACTACATATGGACACGAAGCAAAAAATATTCTGAAGGACATCGCCAACAATGAGAATAAACTCGCATCGGCTATCAATCAGAGAAGCTTTTCGTTGAAATGCAGACAACATAAGGCCCCGAAGATGATCTCAATAAAGATCGAAACGTTGGCACGATAAAGAAAATGTTTTTCTGAAACGTACATCACACCAGACGGCATCTCACGATTTCCCAATAAGCAACAAGTAAGGTTATAAATATGTACAAAAACTACATGTGTGATTATGTTTTCAGACCTAATATTATGCGATTAAAGATAATGACTTTTCTCCATGAACAGGTTTCATAATATTTTTACACAAAGAAGACATAATGCTGGGTTTAGTATTGGGTTGTCCGGAAAATAATGCAGGATTTTGGTATTAAACAAAAAAAAAGAAACTAGTTACTTTAAAGCAATGTTCTTTAATCAAAATAATTTCCCATACTCTCAATACATTTCTCCCAACGTGTTGGTAACTTATTAATTCCGTCTGAGTAGAATTCAGAATTTTTAGAATTGATAAAGTCAATAAATGCATTTTCCAGT